GCGGGGCGGGGGGCAAGAGGGGGGGGCCCGGGGGCGGGGGGGTTGGGGGGGGGGGGGCCAGAGAACTCTGGGGTGGCTGTCAAGTTAAAGTTGATTTTAATTTTAAATAACCACTTACAATCATTCTGTTGTCATATCATTTAGCTTTTTAAGCTAACTTGCATCCATTCTATATTAATTATATCCATTTTATTGTTATATTATTTAGCTTAGCTTTTGTATGACTTAGCCTGGGCCAGACTCCATTTTATAGTAGCCTAATGCTAATATATATACATATATGTAGCAAACTAAGAATGTTTTAATAATATTTAGAATGTATGGAAGAATGAGTGTGGAGTGACTGGAAAAGCATTGTGTGTTGTGTGCTATCATTTAATGACCTATGCTAAGAAAAAACTGAAGAAGCAACCTGTGTTAGGTGAAGAATGAAGATAAGCAGAAGCAGCAAGGTTTACGACTGCTATAATTCTTCAATGGCTAAAGGTCGTAGTAACTTCCAGTTTTGACAAAGCTGAGGGCTGCAAAACAATTGCAAAATAGCACCCTGTCCCCACAACTAAAGACTGCAGAACCCAGAGCAAGAAAAATCCACCCCAAGAACCAGAATCATCTCAACACAGCAGAAAAAGAGAAAAACAACTTCATAGCTGACATAGCAAGGTCCATAGACATGCACGGGAGACAGCTACTATAAAAAGTGGGCAATAACAAAGAAGCTTTGGGTCTGTTCTGCACAACAACAATGAAGGAGCACTGATACATGTCTAACAGAGGCTCGGCTCCCTTCTAATGCTCAGCTTAGCTGGCCACTAAGCTGGCTTGAGCAACTGAAAGACTGGTAACACCTTAGCATCTTCAGAACTGTGCGCACGCGCACATGCAAATGTGTAGGCGATGTTTTGATGTTTCTGTACTCTCAATAAACGTGGCATATTGCCTTATCCCCTGATAAAGATCCTGCTTGTTTTTAATACGCTGTATGCCTAGTGCGTACAACAGCTGCGGCCCCCCAACCCCATCCCAGTGCTGCCGCCGCCACCCACCCTGCCCTGCCCTGCCGGGAAGAGCTTGGCACAGTCCCAGCCTACCCCACCCCACGCAGATCTGGGGGTAGACACCCCCCCTGCCCTCCTGGACGAGCACCAGGAGCTGGGATAGGGGGGATGGGGAGGAAATGGGGTCATGCTGAGGAAAGGTTTGGGAAGCACTGCTGTAAGGTAAGCAGTTGTTCTTTCAAGCGATTGTCTACATGGATTCTACTCAATAGAGACTGTAGTGACTTCACTTAGAAGGCAGGTGACAGAATGACTGCAGAAGGTTTGGAGTGAGGTGCCATCAATATGCTGACAGCATCCATTTCCTCCCCTCTCATCTGATCTAGGTCCTGCAGTGCCTTTTTATAGGTGGGGATTGGATATGGGTGAATCAATTGAGATTGAATTCAGTCAAGACAGAAGTGATAGTAGTGGACAGACTTCATGAGCTTGGAGGTACTGGGATACCTGTTATTGATTGGATTCAGGCTCCCCTTGCTGCTTGGATTAGCAACCTTGGCATGCTGCTGGATCTTCAGGTACTGTACCTGGATTTTTAGGAATGTCCACCAACTAAGCAGTCTAGCAGCTTTGCAACAGGTATTTAGTTTTAGCTATTGCAGCTAACCCTCTAATATGGGAATAATTCCTAAACTAACAGGGAACTCCTAACATAAGTTATTTTGCCACCGGCTATTAAATTACAGGTATTAGCTTCAGTAATTGCCCTGATCATCTGACCGCAATAAATTACCCTAACGTTTCATTGCAACATGCGTGGAAAGTAGATATCCTAGGTACTGGGTCCCACAGTGAAACACACTAAGGCAGTACTGAGGTGATTGGGCCCATTCCACTTTTGAAGCATTCGAATACATGGGCATTTAGGATATAGTGACAATCCCACCAAACACTACTGGTTAAAAAGAATCCAGTTTCAATGGCTCTCACACATGAGAGGTGAAAATCATACTGCAGTTACTTCAACAATTTCCTCCAGACTAAAATATTTTTGAGGTTTTGCCATACTAGTCAAATTCTACTTCACAATCTACTAACAGTCTAGATATTCCAAAGGTTGAGAAATCACTGGAGTATATTAACAGAAAACAGCAGCAAACATGAAAAGCTATTTTACTTACTAGTGCTTAATTACTTACCTAACAGCTGAAGTTAGCTTAGCTGTATTATCAGAAAGCATACTTATTGCTCCATCATCCTCCCCTTCTATTCCCTGTTGAAAATATTAATGTCAAAAAGCTACAGCTACATTTATTGTTGGCACAAAAATCATACTTGCAAGTATATTTATGCTTTATTTTCTTGCACTGACAACAGTGTCCAGTGAATACTTTCATTGTGCAAATCCAGGAAAAGTTTTGTACCCATTTAAGAACCACTAGTTTGACCTCAGTAGTATGCAAGGCTTTAGAACATATTTTGAAAGAAAGAACAATAAAAAATAGAAATGGAATAAAAATCCAATGGCAAAAAACAGAAAATGGAATAAAATGCATAGAAGCGTTATCAAAGTTGGATTATGCCAGACTAATTATTTGTTTGGGAAGATAAATGATTTATTAATTAATCGCATCAGTGTAAACCAGCTACATGTTTAAGAAATTAATGGCGTGACAAAAAGCAAAACCAGCCACAAAATTATTCTGCAATTAAGTATATAATAATTTTGTGGCTGGTTTCAGTTGCACCTTCAAAATAAATGCGTGGCCAGATGGACCATCCTGGGGCTCAAATGAGCCCTGCGCTGTCTCTTTCTGCCATCCATCAGCTGATCAGGGGCAACATGGATACTGAACCAGGGCACATTTAAACACTGGCATAGTCCCTTGCTGCCTCGGATCAGCTAATCAGTGGCTGGGTTCAGCAGATCTCCAGAGCTATTTGACAATAAGCTAAGTACTCAGTACATCTGCCAGTGCAAGAGGAGGAAAATGTATGCAATCATACACGGGCCGTGGCAATTCTGGTTACCTATTATCAAGAAAGATTTTATATGGAACAGGTGCAAATAAAGGTTACTGGGATTATCAGGGAAATGATTCCCGTGTTCTACAAGCCTTACCATGATACTTTTAAGCCTTTTGACTTCATCTTCTTGAGCTCTGTAGGATTCCAGTTCTTGCTGAACAGACTCTGCTACTTCTGGAAAAGGACTAAAGCAATATTACATATCAGGTTCTGTTAAAACATCATATGTAAACCTTGATGATCTATCTGATTCAGATAATTGCGGAAATGTCTTTTGCAACATCAATGCATGACCCATCCAGCACTACTAAAATATTGAAAACTATATATCTTATTAAAAATGAATAGTTAAGCTTCCAGTGCAAATATGAATTACTTGATATAATTTATTGAATCTTGTTTATAAAAATCTTGTTTATAAAAAAAGGCATCATAGCTCCATAATCATCAAATACTAAAAATAAAGCACATGAAGGAATGACTACTGGTATATAAAATGAGCAGTCCAGGTGCTCAGCAGACCTCAACATGCTGCACATGTTTCTATAAAGCCCTAAAAATCAAGCTCTATACCTGGAAAATAGATAAAGATTTTCCACGTAAGCGATTCCTCTAACTCAGTGATTCTCAACTAGGGTGCCACGGCACAGACACAGTACTCTGATTCTAACTATGCTATGGTATAGACACAGGACTCTGACTAACTGAACTGGTGCTTTGACACCCTTTCAAGGGTGCTGCAGGGTGCCCCACAACATTAGTGCTGGCCCATATGCAAGCATGATTTACAATTTAAACCTAGAGATTTCAAATAGGAATGTATGGTGTTAAAATCATTCTGATCTCTTGTGGTTTTTCTGAGTTCTTCTGAGTTGCAAATAATTGCTCTATTATCTTTGTATAGTTTTCAGTCATTGTTTTAACTAAGAGGTGGCATTTTCCAAGGGGTGCTTTGGGTCTAGAAAGGCTGAGAACCACAGCTTTACTTCAGCTCCTGTTACAGCTCAAGGAATTAAATTCAACCAATAGTGATGTATTCATCCTAAACTTCATATTGACAAACATTCACCAGTAAAAGGGGGAGAGAAATTGTTGTTCTCAGCCACAGAGAACAGAACATGGGACAACTGAATTTCAAACAGAGAAAAGCAGTTTGAGAACAAATACCAGGAAAAACTTTCTAAGTGTAAAAAGGGCAGGGCAATGGAATAAGCTGCCTAAGAAAGATGTGTAATTTTGGAGTGGGATATAAATCTAATAATTAAATATAGATAAATTGGGGATATCCAAAAAGAAAACTGACAAGGATCTATCTGGAATGGTCAAGAAAGGACAAATCCTAAACCATCTGTACAGGAGGCTGGACTGCGTGGCTTCTGAACCCCTTACACTTTTGACTAACATAAGAATAGCTGAATCAAATCAAACACCCTCTTTAAATCCAACAATTTTAACTGGAACAGAACTTTATATAGCAGGTTGTTTCTTTAAGTAGGCTAAGATCAGTACAGATTCCATTCCTCAAGAGCCTCCATAACATAAAATTCTTCACTGGTACACCAAGAATTTCCTAATCTTTGTGTACCAGTTCTCCCTATCAGTAACTATGATCTTCCTCAGCAAACTCTGAATACAATTCAAAACTTTTTTCATAAATTAATTTTATTCCACAGGTCCATGAAAAACTGAATGTAATTAAATGCATCGATTAAATTCTTGTATAAATTTGTCACTTGTGTACTTTCTCTGGATTGTCAAACTAATAACTCCTAAACTTTTTGTTGACTTCAAACAAGATTTAAAATATTTTTCTAAAAAAATATTAACATAAGTTTTTACCAAACATACCTAATTTTATGAAATTATCAGAGTTCTTTAGGAAAGGTGTTGTAATTTAAGAGCCCATATTAAAAAGTTAAGACTTAATTATGCTTCTCTGTAACCAAGGGGCACGGGGGGCTGGACTCGATCTCACAAGGTCCCTTCCAGCCCCTATGTCTATGAAATCTAAGAAAAACACTTGCCTGTTAAGGATAATTTTTCAGTACAAACTTACTAATTTAAATATGTATTCTCCAACTGGTCCTCTTACCTGCCTTTATGCTTTTGCCAAAATTTATCCAATGCAGTTAAGTCATATGACTTTTTATTTTTTTTCTTTGGTCTAGCTCCTGCTGGAGAATTTTCCATTCCTGAAGGTTCTTCCAGGTTCACTCTATTCAAATGGAAATCCTAGAAGAGGATGAAGAAAATACTCTTTAATTAAATACCTACAACTTTTATCCAACATTAAGTGTCAAAAATATTAAGAATCAAAATAACCTCATATATATTTAGTCTGATCTTTCAAAACCAACAAAACCATGCATTAGATCTTGCAATTGAAAAGAACATTGCAAAGGCTCTCTGAATTAACTCAATCATACAGTCATTTAGTCATACAGTCTTCTTTCTTAAATATCTGAAAAAGGGCTATTTTGCCTTGAGTCTTTTCCATTAAACAAATTACAGTTTTCTTACTACTTACTTCAAGTATAACCAAGAGCAGCTATTTTTAAAATCTTTATACAATGGTAAGAAGCATTTATTAACCAAAAAACCATGGTATAAACCAAGTTCAACGTCTGCTATACTTCATTCATAGCCAAAGCTAAAAAAACTTTGATTTTATAACATTCATAACTACAAGGGCTATAAATGACTTAAACACTTTCTGGCGTAGAAAGGGGAGAATCTTGAGCTATCAGGTATGTATTTATAGAATAGCAATGTAGTACTGCCTGTTAGGATCTGAACAGGATCTGCTGAATACAGTGGAGGAAGAACATGGCAAACTCTATGTACCATACTAAATTCCAACACACTGGCCATATCTGCACACGTGCTTTACCGAGGAGTAGACCAATTAGCTGTGGAGTAAAGCAGCTCCATCTACATGTGTGATTAGGCCACAGTAAACTAATTTACATTAGCATAAGCACTGCCAAGGATAACAGTATCTTACACCAGGGTAATTTGCTGCAATTACATGCATGTTTAGATGCTGACCGCAGGCATAAATTGTGCCTAGTCAGCCCAGCCAGCAGGGGGCCAGACTCTTGCCTGCCACCTAGCCACATGGCTCTGTACTTTCAGCTCCCTTGTGCCCGAGCCAGCCCTGTGGCTGCCATCCACCACCACCCGGAACCCAGAGCTGACCGCCCCCCCGCTCCCCTGAGAGCATGGGCCTGCTCTGCCCAAGCTCAAATTAATGCTGTCCTGGGTGCACATATAGACACTGCACCCTGGAGTAATTTACTCTAACTCAAACTCCTCTGGAATTTATTGCCTTGCATTAATTGCATGTGTAGACACACCCAATGAACCGGAACCTTGCAATTTCCAGAGACCCTTTGCCTGGAAGTGTTGACATGGACGTCTGTACCCTAATAAGGAAACAGTAGTATCAATTGTCAGGGATAGATAAGCCGGGAGAAAACAAATTCCTTTTGTACATGTTGAGTGGAGCCTTCCATCATGTAAGCAAGAGACTGGACCACATGAAAACATATCACTCATATTTACAGGATACATTTCAGGAAACAGATGCTTTGCTCAGGCTCTCAGCCCTTAAAGCACCTGGGTTGGGAACCAGCAAAACACTGGAAAACTAAGACTGTGCTTTCAAGGAAACTATGCATCTGTGCTGAATGGTGGGGCCTCCACCAGTGCTGCAGGATGCAGGTGTCTAGCTAACTCTTTTGTCCCTGGTTCATAGGTAGATGCCACAGACTTACTACTGAGATACCTCTGAAACCAAGTTTTGCACACCTTTCAAGCTTAAAATGTAAAGGGCCTAATAGAGTATATCCTAAGAACATGGAATTATTCTAGGCAGTGTATGCATATTGTGTGCCCATAAGATGCAGATATAGCACTGCCACAAGACCAGACATCTTAAATTCTGGACTAGGGAGAAACCATAACAATAACAGAATCCTAATTGCTCCACCCAAAGAAAAGAGAGAATTCAGGGGGGAAGTGAGCCCTTAAAATGGTGCAACTACGTGGGGCTGGGAAAATAAGGGAAAAGCTAAAGGATACCAAACCCTAACAAGACCTCTCCTTAGCTGTTATTTCTTCCTTTTTCTTCTTACACAATAAAAATGAGAGAAAGAAGTAAAAGTGATAAGAACAATAGCTGAGAAGCAACACTTCAAATAAAGGATTTGGGCACCTTGCAAGGTGAAAGCACAAGCCTGTAAGTGTTCTTAATTTAGCCAAGGTGGCTGAGGAAAATTGAGGAGCAGAAAGTGCCTACTTCCCTCTAAGCTTGTACACATAGAGAACTAGGAAGGACAGCAGTCTAATGGCACACCCTAAAGATACAGCTAACACAGAAAAGTGCTTGATGTGTTTGTGCACATACATGAAGATGTGCACAAGAGCAATCATTTGAAGAACACTCTCATAAAGAAGCTAGGGTGTCTGCACAGAGGCTGTAACCTGTGGGTGAGAAGAGAGAGGGAGGGTGACAGTCAGCATCCTGGACTTACCAGGGCACAGGCAACTGCCCACCACTGGTGCGCAAGAGTGCTGCGGTGCTTCTGGAGCAGCGTGAGGCTCTGGGCTGGCAGGGAGAAGATGGAAGAAAGTACTTCTGGCCTCCGAGAGGGGCAGAGGCAGCAGTGGGCAGCAGAAGGGGAAGGCTGAGCAGTTCCCAGACAGGGAGCAGCTGGCCGCTGAAGCAAAGCAGTCAGCCCAGTCCAAAGGGTGTGGCGCTTTGATGAGCACAAATCACAGAATCCAACAGACTGAAGACACCAGAGCAGGCACCAGTGACTCCAGATGGACAGCTGGAGATGTGGCAGATTTAAGGTCAGGGGGATCCTGGGTGGAAGACCCAGGCACTGGGACACTACTCACCTTCCAGGGGTTAGGATCAGACGAGGTCAGAGGCCAGCCTGGAGCAGGTCCCTACACGCCGGCCCCACACACACTGAAAGAGGAGGGGCAGCTGGAAGCCCCAGAGTATTTAATTAGGCCCAAGACTAAGGATTGAGGGTCGCTGGGGGCCAGATGGAATATTAAAGAAGCCTCCTGCAGCATGACCAAGGCATGTGAAGGCCACGGCTCTAAAGGGTCCCCTGTTGGGGAAGGGCATGTTTCTATGTCAATGAAGTAAGGCACTGGCGTATGGACTTTTGGACTCAGGTAGACATTAGTCTGTACCTTTGACTGCTGAGTCGATTGATTAAGCAGCTGTGGATTGTTAGCTGGTGGAGGGAATAATTAAGGCCAAAAGGGGGTTTGCTAAGTGGATCCCTGACCACAATGGCTGCTAAGAGGAGTAGGCTTCACTAGTATAATCAGGACAATATACATCTTCTTCAGAGATAGGTTGTGGTTAGGGTGGGGTAAAAGGGAAGTCTAGAGTCCCATGAAAAGAACAGGGGTAAGCAAAATTTTTTTGGCTGGAGTGCCAATAAAGCCCACAATGTCTACCTTGGAAGGTGCCAGAGTGCCGGCATGCCAGAAAAATGAGAGTAGGGGGTACATGGCAGGATACACAGCATATTAGCATAGTTAA